AAAAAAAAAAAAAAAAAAGAAACCCACAACCCCCCCTCCAAAAGATTTAACAACCTACAGAGTAATGTAAATAATTATTAACTCAATGCACAGATCAAAAATTTTAAAACACACTCCACCACCGCCCCTGCTTTATTTCTAAGTAAACTAAACCATGTGATACAAAGCTACTTAAGAAGTGATATACATATTTCTGCAAATTGTTAATCAAATCATTCTCATATTGTCCAAAATTTGGTTGATGTTTAGAAATGGATGGTGCAGTCTTTTGATACAGGGCTCACTGTCGGGGATGATCTGATATGGGGAAGTGCCTTGAACTTTTCCAATGAATTCTTTTAAATAGATAGCCATGGTGGGGCGCCTGGGTGGCTCGGTCGGTTAAGCAGCTGACTTCGGCTCAGGTCATGATCTCACGGTCCGTGAGTTCAAGCCCTGCGTCGGGCTCTGTGCTGACAGTTCAGAGCCTGGAGCCTGTTTCGGATTCTGTGTCTCCCTCTCTCTGCCCCTCCCCTGTTCATGCTCTGTCTCTCCCTGTCTCAAAAATAAATTAAAAAAAAAAGTTAAAAAAAAAATTAAAAAAAAAAATAAATAAATAGATAGCCATGGAGTAATGTGTAGTCTCAATAGAAAATTCCTCTTCCCATCAAGGATATTACTCATGATGTTAAATCTTCAACCCCTGATGACCAATAATAATTACAACTTTTTATTTATTTATTTATTTATTTATTTATTTAAAATGTTTGTTTATTTTTGAGAGAGAGAATGAAAGAAACAGAGAAGAAATGGGCAAAAGACATGAACAGACACTTTTCCAAAGAAGACATCAGATGGCTAACAGACACATGAAAGGATGTTCAACATCATTCATTCTCAGGGAAATACAAATCAAAACCGCAATGAGATACCACCTCACACCTGTCAGAATGGCTAACATTAACAACTCAGGAAACAGCAGATATTGGTGAGGATGTATCGAAAGGGGAACACTTTTGCACTGCTGGTGGGAATGCAAACTGGTTCAGCCACTTTGGAAAACAGTATGGAGGTTCCTCAAAAAATCAAAAATAAGGGCTCCTGGGTGGCTTAGTTTGTTAAGCATCTGACTTTGGCTCAGGTCATGATCTCACAAGAGTTCGAGCCCTGCATCAAGCTCCATGCTGACAGCTCAGAGCTGGAAGCCTGCTTTGGATTCTGTGTCTCCATCTCACTCTTCCCCTCCCCCACTTGTGCTCTGTCTCTCTCTGTCTCTGTCTCTCTCAAAAATAAGTAAATATTAAACAAAATTTTAAAAATTAAAACTAGAACTACCCTATGACCCAGCAATTGCACTATTAGGTATTTATCCAAAGGATACAAAAATGCTGATTTGAAGGGGCACATGCACCTCCATGTTAAGAGCAGCACTATCAACAATAGTCAAATTATGGAAAGAGCCCAAATGTCCATCGACTGACAAATGGATAAAGAAGATACGGTACATATATCCAATGGAATACTACTCAGAGATGAAAAAGAATGAAATCTTGCCATTTGTAACAACATGGATGGAATTAGAGGGTATTATACTAAGTGAAATAAGTCTGTCAGAGAAAGACAGATATCATATGATTTCACTCATGTGGAATTTGAGAAACACAACAGATGAACATAAGGGAAGGGAAGGAAAAATACAATAAAAACAGAGAGGGAGGAGGCAAATCATAAGAGACTGTTAAATGCAGAGAACAAACTGAGGGTTTCTGGAGGGGTGTTGGGTGGGGGGTGGGTTAAATGGGTGATGCGAATTAAGGAGCACTTAATTGGGATGAGCACTGGGTATTATATGTAAGTGATGAATCACTAAATTCTACTCCTGAAACCATTATTACACTATATGTTAACCAACTTGGATTTTAATAATAATAATAATAATAATAATAATAATAACTCAACTCTAGAATATTGTCAGGTGGAGATGAAGAGAAAAAGGCCTCATGGAATCTAATTTCTGAGGGGATTGTTAGGTTGGTGTAACTATTCTCTAAGAAACTGTAATGTTGGATACATGTCATACAGCATTTGTCAAAACCCACAGAAGTGCCCAATACCAAGAGTGACCTTTAACATAAATAAAGGACTATAGTTGATGATAATATATGGGTATTGGTTCATCAATTGTAACAAACGTACTACACTAATGCAAAATGTTAATAATAAGGGAGACTACGGAGTTGGAGGCAGGGTGCGTATATTGAACTATATGTACTACTTGTTCAGTTATTCTGTAAATTTAACACTGGACTAAATAAATCAAGTCTTAAAAAAAACAAACAAACATGCTATCTATATA